ATCATAGCGCATGCGCTATGGTTTCTGTATTCTGCCCATGGCTCCTGGATTTTCAATCTACATAAAAATACATAATGCATAGCCACGGGCATAAGCACATACATTCTCATTGTAGCCGGTCCTAAAGAAAAGTGGTTAAGAACAAAGAACGGATTTATATTGATTAACACGTAAGTATTCTCATTATTTAATTATCAACGTAATGAAAATACGATCTGACAATGACCGTATATAATTATATTAGTGTGAATTGTCTCAGTTTCGTAAACATAGTGTTTTGAGGTTAATTTTATTTTGTGTGCCGAATACAGCAGCAGCAACGAGCGGCTCAGGACAGTTTGAAAAACATAGACAACGAGTCCGATGCACCTAAAATACAGATCAGATTATCAAAGATTGGTATTCGGATGACGAGGACAATGATGATGATGACGAGGGAAGTAATCTTACTATAGTGGATAGTTCGAAAGACGAAATCGAGCCTATCGAGAAGACGCAAAACCTCGTTATCAAGGAGGAGTTCCAGCCTGCGACATCCGTGTCCAACGTACCCCAGCCGGCCGCTATTTTGGACAAATTAGGTGACCTGAGCAAAATTGATATCAGTGCCGAAGTATCCAAATTGCTTTCTACTCTGAAGGCTCAGAGCTCGGCGACCAACAAGACGCAAGCAAACTCGAATCAAGACGCGTCGAAAGCTAAATCGGCGCAAGATCCGAAGACGGATAGCGAGACGTCGTCGAGTCCGAGGCGATCACCAAAAGTTGTAATTTATTGCAAAATAAACGCATCTTCTCATAATTTTCGGTAAGTTTTATATACAGTTTAGGTGTAAAAATTTATTATTAAAACATTCTTTTGATTTCTCGTTATCAAGGAGGAGTTCCAGCCTGCGACATCCGTGTCCAACGTACCCCAGCCGGCCGCTATTGTGAACAAATTAGGTGAACTGAGCAAAATTGATATTAGTGCAGAAGTATCCAAATTGCTTTCTACTCTGAAGGCTCAGAGCTCCGCGACTAACAAGACGCAAGCAAACTCGAATCAAGACGGGTCGAAAGCTAAATCGGCGCAAGATCCGAAAACGGATAGCGAGACGTCGTCGAGTCCGAGGCGATCACCAGAAATTGTAATTTATTGCAAAATAAACGCATCTCATAATTTTCGGTAAGTTTCATATACAGTTTAGGTGTAAAAATTCATTATTAAAACATTTTCTTGATTTGTTAATTTTCTCGAATAATACTTTATTATTTGTATGTATCATTGAATATTTTTCACTTATTTTGATATTTGATGTTTGCGCTGTTTGGCCATTCTTTAACGTTTTTGCAATTAATTCATAC